ATTCATAAACATCTGTGGCGTACTACACACACATTAAATAATTGTACATAAATTTTACTTTCTTTGTGTAACACATATAACAATAATTTAACAATAGGGGTCGTCGCGTCTTAGGTCACTTATGTCAATTTTTTCCACTTAAATTCTTCAATATAATTTTTCTTTAACGATTTATGTACATATATGAATGTGTTAAGAAATGAAAATAAGTAGAAAAAAAAATATTAATTTTTCCATCCCTTCTTCTACTTTATTAGGGATATAATTGTATATGGTTGCCTTTCAACATCATAACATTAATTTTTTTCCTATTGTAAGGTGAAAAAAGATTTATTATCTTCGGGTTTAAGGTGTTCTTTATATATTAATAAAAGAAGAGAATAAAAAAAAAGTAATAATAAACAGGAGAATTTTTATAAATAATGAAAAAATAAAAATGAATTATGGTTACGTATATGTGTTAAAATTCTTTAAGCAATGAGAATTGTTTATTTTTTTTGAGGTTTAATAAAATATTAAAGAGCACAATTGTTTAAAATTCAATATTAAATAGAAAAGGTGGGAAGTTTTTATTATTTTCAATATTAACATTTTTTTTGTTAACACCCAGTCGGTATACTAATTTCATTAAACCGAACATACCTGCGGATAAAACATGAATTCTTTTACAAAATATGTTGAAGCAGAATTGCTCTTTAAGTATAAAATAGAGAAAGGTTAAATAAAATGGGAAGCTAGTATAAAATTAAATATTGATTTTGCAAAAACATTTTTTGATGTTTCTTGTTTTGATCTATACGTACACCATACAAAATTTAATTAAAATATTTAAAATTTCATTAAATGTGCTCTGTATACTTTCTATATAGTTTATTAAGAAAACACTTTTAGCAAACATAGGTTATTTACTTTTTAAATTAATTTAAATGAAATTTTTGTATAAGACATCTAAAATATAAAATAACTCAAAATAAAATTCATTATGAAAAATTGTAAATTATAGTGCACATTTATTTAGATATTTATTTAGACATTAGTTTAGGTAGGCGATTTCGGAAAAAAATGACAGTTTCTTAAAATTTAAATACAGTTAATTGCCTTGATATAATATTGGAACTAAATATGAACAAATTTTAAAATTCAGTATACTAAAAATAATTAAGTCAAAAATAGCTTATTATAGTCTCCTTAGATTGTGATTATCAAATCAAATACCTACTTTAAGATTTTAATCTTTTCTTTTAAATAAATCTAGAATTATAACTATTACTAATTTGCAAATTTTAAAAGACTCTTTTAAAATAAAATTATACTACCGTTTTTCATTTGCACTATACAAATACCATTAACAAAATGGAATTTCAAATAATCCTGCAGCACTCACATTTCTACATATTCATCGTTTCTGCTTAAAAAAAATTCCGTTAATATTAGTAATAACTTTAGTCTTTAGCATATACATATTTAAGGCAAGCATATATGAAGTAAGTTAGAGGATTCCTTTTAATTGGATTACACGGAAAACCTTCCATCTATCAAGCTATATCTCTGGTAACCCCTATAAAACCATGTAAAAGAAGAAATATGTTAGGATATCAGGATTTTTTATATTAACATTCCCAAATCTCAATATATTTGAGAATTTTAAATTAAAAATGCTTTGAATATTTGAAACATTTTTAAATTTCCAAAAATATTTTACAAAACTATATTTAAATATGGTGCATATATACATACATGGATGACTGCGTGTGTTATTATAAAAAGTTTTTGTTTAATAGAAATTATTTTGTGATGGTTACAATCATTGTGTCTTGTACTTTTCAAACATAATTTAGTGAAAGGAATAATTCTAAGATATTGGTACCCACAGAATTTAAGGATTTCTATTATATACTATTATTCAAGGTCCCGATTATGTTATTTTAATAATATATTTGGGGCTGATTCAACAATGCAGTTTCAGTATCATGTTTCAGTATTCAAAAAAAAAATTTGTGGTTTAAAAGAAAAACATTTTTTTTTTGTTATTTAAAACAAAATTTTCAAGCAGCTTCAATAAGATTAATTTTTTCTTCGAGTTTTATTTGTACTGCAATAAAATATCGAAAAGTTTTGTAAAGATTTTGTATTAAAAAATTAAACATAATACGAGTAAACGGAAAAATTTCAATAGTTTGCAAGCAAAAGAAAAGTTTCGATTTTTTTTTTTTGTGTATTTTAAATCGAACAAAGTAAATTTAAAAGAAGTACATAACTAGATACGAGTATATGAAAATAGCTTTAAAAACCTATTAAATTAAAAAGAAATTTTAAATTTAAAAAGTTCTCGACCTTAATGCGGTTCTCTAAAGATTTTTGATACAGTTAGGATCCAAGAAGCATTTTAAATTTTTTATTCGTATTCGTATGCTTCTTATAATTTTCAATAGTATGCTTCTTATAATTCTCACATTGAGTTCTCATAAATTTATAAGAATAATGTATGTGTTATACGAGTATTTATATATCATGCATAATTTTAATATTTTTAAGGAAAATAATGAATTCAGTTCAAAAATCTCCATTTTCTATGAATTAAAAGCAGCTGAATTTCAAAAAAAAAAAAAATTATTAACAAACGACTAGCTATGTATTCTTTAAAAAAAAAAAAAAATTCAATAAAAATTGCATATATTTAGGGGATTTATTTACAATAATTGTTTATTTAATATTGAAAATTTTTTCATATAAAAACTATATTTTAATTGAATAAATTTTTTTAAGAATTTTACTTTTTAAAAATAAATCAAACTCTCTCTACCTCTAATTATTATTGAATTCTTGTCTGTTTCTCAAATTATCTCTATCTTTGAATTAATATTAAATATGTTGTCAATTGAAGTATAAAGTTGTTATCATCATATTGAAACCAATGTAAATTAATGCAAAAAATTAACCCAACATATGGGGCGTATAGGATTTAATAACTGATATCATACTAAATTGTAAATTATCTCGCACAATTTTTTTTTCAATAAAATATATAGATAACAAACACATATATACGAACTAAATATTAAGGAAGACCTGTTTTGAATCAAGTAATACAGATTTATTCGAAACAACATGAAATTGCCTTTATTATTATTTAAAAAAAAAAAAAAAAAAATTATAAAAATAATTTAACTTTGTCGAAAAAAAAATTATGAATCAAATTTTTATGAATGCGTTCTAGCAAGAAAAACAATAAAATTTGTAAAAAAAAAAAAAGAACAAAAAATTTAAATATATAGAGTTGTACTGGAATTTCGGCAAAATCGGAATTCGCCTTTCAGGTGAAATAAAGCAATAAAAGAACATTAATAAAAACAAAGGCCATATTTTGCTCTTATGAAAACATTTTTCCCTATTTATTTTAAGTTTTTAAGTGAATTTTAGGCAAAACGGAAATGAAAAAAAAAATATAAGCAAAGTTTTTTGTTGCCTTTTTTCCAAAAAAAAAAAGTATATATATTCTGTCAGTTAACCAATATACAACTTCCTATATGTTGATATAAAGTTAAAAAAAAAGTTTTGTGCAAATAGCAAAAGAAAAAAAAAATTGAAAAAAAAAACACAAATTTTTTTTTTAATATTTTTAGTATATTTTTCATATAATATAATAATAACTAGGACAACGTTAGCTAAGAGGAGAATTTTTATTCCTTTTGGGAAAATAAAACTATAATATCAATATAAATATTTTATCTATGTGTGAATAATTATATAATATGAGTATATACAATATATTGTATATGTATGATGGAAAAAGTAAAAATTATACAATTTAAATTCAGGATTTTTCAATAATTTCGAAGTAGTTGAATGTTTAAATGGCTCGCATCAAAGAATCTATGTAGAAGATTTTTTAAAATATTAAGACATGTTGAAGTATTTTATTTATATATATATTTTATTTATATATAGCAAAAATATTGACAAATACACTAAAATTGCTTAAATACAGTTATATTGTCTTAACTTTGCATCTGTTATAAGAGAATGGATGAGAACGGCGTGAATGTAGGATCTTATGCATATCCGATTAATGTAAATTTGAAGTGATATGAGAGTGTAAATTAAAGTGAAAAATGTTTAAAAAATTATAGTCCGCTAAATTAATGATTATAGCGAAATAGAACTTTAGTTCTAATAAACACATAAAAATAGCGAATAAACTTTAGTTCTAAGAAAGAAATTCAGTTGGCTTTAGTTACAAAAAATTAATGTAATAACTTATCTGAGTCGTCACCTTAGATCAGAAGTTTTCTAATTTGCACTTTAAAAATTATATCAGAGATCGATAAAATGATATGAGACTTTTTTATCTACAAAAAATTTTTTAATAAAATTGCAAACATATTCTAAGTCCGTATAGAATAAACGGACCTAGGATATTTCAGTTCTGAAAAAAACGCTGTTTAAGAGGATTCATTTTTCAGGATTCATTGTTCAGAATTCATTTGTGGATTTTGAGACAAAAAAACAATTAGAGTTGTTTGGAGCCTATGTTTACACAGTAAGAGCAAAAAGAGTGTTATACTTGTTTAGACAATATGCATATTCTAATTTGTACAATGTACAAGTATTAAAAATTAACAAATAATTTCAAAAACATTCTCCAATAATTTCATGAACGTTTCTCATTAATTCGTCACGAACCCTACATTAAAAGTTAAAAAACCCTGATACAAGAAACAAAATATGCCATGTAAAATATTGTTTTTTATAATAAAAAAACAATTTTAATAAAAGCAAATAATATTTTTTGTTTTGTAATAAAAATTGGCTTTTAAAAAAGAGCATGCATTGTGTTTTATATGTGTTCCAAATAAGGATGGAAAAATTTTATTTCGTTTTTATTTAAGGTTTTTCGTTATACTTTTTTTTCTGTTTTAATTCCATAGTTCTAATAGTTTATTGATATTATCATAATTTTTGATCATTAAATTCCCATTGAATTTTGTGTTTATTTGCAGACTGTACATTTACTGTTCAAATTGTTAAAGGATCTCGTGGTTTAGGATTTTCAATTTGTGGAGGTGTCGATACGAATACTGCATTCCCCGGTTTAATACGGATTAAACGATTATTTCCACATCAAGCTGCTTGGTCAACTGGAAAATTACAAACAGGCGATATTATATTAGAATCTAATGGAATTCCTTTAACAGGACTAACAAATTATGTAAGTTTTATAATAAATAAAAAATTATTGTTGAAAAAAATTTTTTATTAAAATTAATTTTTTTCTTTCTTATTGTATAAAATTTAAAGGAAGCCCTAGAAGTACTTAGAACATTGCCAAATGATGTTGAATTATTAATATGCCGTCCTGTGGATGAGCAATATAAGAAATTATCACCACCGACTGAACCACCGAAACCGCCACAAAGAACACAACAACAATCAATACAAACTCAAACTGCCCTTGAAGATATGGGTGTTTTAATGCCATATCAACAACAGCAACAGCAACAACAATTTATTAATGCAACACAATATTTAAGTGATGCAGCTGCTGTTGCAGCTGCTGCATATTCAACAACAGCAATAATACCAACAAATTGTTATGGGGTAAAATATTAATAATAAAATATATTACGAGTAATATCGAAATTTTATTATTTTTTCATTTTTCAATTTATATAGGAATTCGAAATATTTATGATTAAACAACAAGGATCTTTAGGTTTCACGATACATAAAGAAGATGAATCAATATTAGGCCATTATGTACGTGCACTTGTACGTGAACCAGCAACAACAGATGGTCGTATTAAACCAGGTGATAAAATTGTCGCCGTTAATGATATACCATTATCACCAATGACACATGAACAGGCTGTGATATTTTTAAGACAATCTGGTGATGTGGTTAAATTACGTTTATATAGAGATGAACCAAATACACCGGAAGAACCACCGTCACCAACTGTCACAGAAAGAGAAAATAGTTTTGGTGGATCATCTTCGTCTCATAAAAAACCTCATTTAAGGTAAAATTTATAAATACATAAGGATATGTAGACACTGGATGTTTCTGTTCTAAGTGCACTACTTTATCGGTGAATAAAACTATTAAGAATAAAGGGTGAAAATTTGTTGCTTGTGTTCAACGACTTCCGAAACACAAAAAGTTAAAAGCAATTTCGATTGTTTGTTCTTTTTTTTGGTTTTGAGTATAACTTACTTCTTGCGCAAGATAACCACTTAAGAAATTATGACTTTGAAAAAGCTTGGGTTTTCTATTCCAATCAAAAGTTCCATTAGATCAAGTGACATAATTTTTTTTAAATTTTTAATAATTTGTTTGAAAAATTTTGTATCATGTAACTACTTGACTTTGCTTAATTACCCAAGAACCCTTTAAAGGTAGATAGATATTTGATACATCAGACAAAAGCTGAATGCACAGAAACTGAAAGTACACTAAAATTTGAGAAAATATTTCGTTGCTAAAGTTTTCGATTCAGAAAGTTCAAAATATAACTATATAGCGCAAATATTCACAGAAACGAAATTATACTGAAAATTACAGTAGAATTGAAACATCCTATAACATCTAGTAATTCAGTTAATATGAATTTATGAGATTTGAGTAATTCTAAGCAAAATACAATAAAATAAGAAAAAATTTTTTTTTCCATTTTATTTTACTTTCAGGCCAGAAGCAATAAATCTTCTAACTGACTTAGCTCATAAGAAACAAAATTCCCAAGGTGATTCAACGGAATCATCTAATTTGTCTACAAGCAGTTCACCAAGAAGACTTAAACGAGGATATAAATCACAAAGTGAACAGGATGCGTCCGATTCAAAAAGTAAATATATATGTACATTTAAATATATTTGTATATGTATATACATTTATATGTAATATACTTTATAAAGTACATTATTATTAAGTATGTACAAATGTACGTTCTCAAAAGGGTATATTTTGAATTTTCAATTTCATTGCTTTTACTTCATTTAATATGCCTATGGGCTTCAAACAATGGCGAACAATACATTTACGTACACTTTCATTCTATTGGAAATTTCAATAGAATGCTTTTTTTTTTATTATAAAGATTCCGATATACTTGATACAATTATTCTATTGTTACATTGTGCTATTTGGCTATACATTTTGTATTATTTCAGCCCATATGGTTGAGAAGCAAGAGATATAAAGTCAATTTTATATCCCATATGTGTATTTAATACCTTTATTCCTTTACTTTATTTTCTGTATTTGCAAATGTTTTATACGTATATGGATTGAATTTTTGTGGAAAGGAAATTAATATTCTATTACTTGATTACGAGTATGCATATATTAAAGAATTTCTTATATTCTTTTTAATATCTCATTTTTAAAGGTTCCAACAGTAATCCAGTTTATTTGGTTTCAAGTCAAACAACAACACTATGTTCAGACTCTGAACAAAGTATTGATAGTCAGTGTTCTTATATTATTCAACCTGGAGATAATGTAAATGAAGTAGTTTCACCAAGCGGGAAGTGCAATCGACCAAATTATTTAGATTTAAGTAATAGTAATAGTAGTGATGGAAATACAATTAGAAAAGCAAAATATCAATTTGGTGGTAAGTGCATAATATATTTAATTATTATAATAATTACGTTTTTAAGTTCATATTTTTTTTTAGAATGAGCCATTTAAATCTAATTCAATTGCAATATAATATGAGAGGATAAAAATTTAAATGGGATTAATTTACCGCGGCTTAATATTAGGGCAAAATTCTAAGCGTTCTTTCCATTATCTAAGGATCTATTCATTAGAAATCAGAAAATTATTTAATTTTTTGTCCTTTATGTCTAATACTGTTCCAGTTCTGATCCTGTCTTTAGAATTAGTAAAACCAGTTGCTATTTTGTGATACGGGGTCTATTAAAATCAAAACTGTGTTATTTTAAATTACAAAAACAAAAACGGAAGTTATCGGATTTTCTTTCAACAAAGTTTTTTTAAATTTCTTCTTGATATTATTCCTACAAACTTGAAAATTATAGAATAATATTCTTGTTATTTTTTCAACATTGATATTTCTTAGTTCCAACCGCATTAACCAAGATAGACTAAAATTTTTTGAAAAAAATTTGTGATTTTCAACTTTTAAGGTTTAAATAATAGTTTCTCAAAAACCAAACATTCTAATAATATTTTCTTCAGTCTCATTTGTGTAATAAAGTTATTCATGTTTAGCACATTTTAAAATATTGTTGTATATTTGGCTTAATTTATTTGTTCCCCCATTTCATTGGATATACCGAGTATAAGTTAATTTTATAAATTTTTGACCACAGTTTACATGGCAAGAATTGGTAGAATATAAAACTTGTCTCATAGTAAAATTATTTTCTAATTATAATATTTTGCGACAATGTTGAACAACTTTTGCTTATAGTATATAAGAAATTATTAGAAGTAATTTATTAAAGGAAAATGTGCTTTTACTTTTAAAATTGTTTTATGACAAAATTCTATTTGTGTTGGTTTCCTTTTTTGTTTTGTTTTATATAACACAAGTCTTTTATTTTAAAATAGAGTATAAGTGTCCCCAAGGCTATTCTGATATAGTTATAATAACTTTATAATCTGGAGACCACAAATATTTTTTATATTATAGAAGAAAAAATAGAAAAGGACAATAATGATTTGTCCCACAACTCCACAAAAACAAGAAAAAGAAAAATATTTTAATAGAGTTTTTTTTTCTATGGTTTTCTTAAAGTGTAGGTAAAAAATTATTTTCCCATTAAAGGCTTTTGATCACAAATTCTTAAATATTATGAAAAAGGATATTTTTTACTTATAATATATACATATATATGAAAAAGAGGTAACCTAAAAATGGTAAATATTTAAATTATGATAGACGACATTTTTAAAATTGAATTTTTAAGAATTTTTTTAGTTCCATCTCTTCTGGAAAAGAAACTTTTCTATTTCTATTTTAGATGTTTAAGAGTAGATCCATCGAAAGAAGAAAAAATCATATGTGATAATAATAATGTTTAATGTTACGGAATTTTTATATAAAATGTCAAAGAATCGAAATTCTTAAAATTATAATAGGTTAAATGCCAGAGGGAACAGTTCAAACGAAATTTAGTTATTTTAATATTTAGATTTAAAAAAAAAAATTCTTTTTAAATAAATGTGGTGCGTATAGGCATGTGTATTTCGGAAGCTTATGGGGAAAATCGTCTATCTAACATAAGAAATAGCTTGAATATATTTTGTTATTAATGAAAGAACATATTCCTATCTAGTGTAACACTCTTTGTTATTTTATTGCAAAATAAGGTATTTTTGTTTTAACTTATGATTTACATATAAAAGGGAAACAATCTAATATTTTTTAATTCTTTTAAAATGATTTCAGAATTTTTAAAATTTGGAATAGAAGGTTCTCCCAGAAAAGCTCTTAAAATTTATTATGGTATATTTAGTAATAGAAGTTGCCAATAGATAAATTTCAGTTGTTGGTAATATGGGAGAAAATTTTTAAATTTTACGTTATTTACACTTCAATAGCATTATTTAAAGCACGACAATTTTTAATATTTACCATTAATAGTGCAAACCACATATGATTTCGAAAACACAAGTTTCTATATATTGGTTTTCTGAAAAATATTAATCAAGTTATTTTTAAGGTTAGAACAACTCTTGTTGAGATTGGTTTTTGTATTAAAAGCAAACAAGGCTTTTGTTTATTAACTCTTGGAATTCATTCTATCATTTCCTATACGACTCAATAAAAAATTTTACTTTTTTTCTGATTTTTTTGTTAAAAAATTGATTGATTTTAAATTCAGTCTGATTAAAATTTGTATGAGATCCACTATTAATACGGTTTTGTTAACATTTATAAGCTATACACCAATTTCTTTAAATCAATGAAATTTTCTGCGATATTAGGAAAACGAGTACAATAATTTCAATAATTCACTTCTTCTGTCATATACGCTCAATATATGACAATTTTTGTCTTACTAGCTTTAAGATTTTCACTCCAAATATATTCTCTAGATATTTTTCATATTTGTTGTTATTTAAATAACAATACATATGACATTTTTTCCTATACATTTTTGAATTTACCACATGCAAGTTATCACCGTCTTTAGTTACATATTCAAGTGGTATCAAATTACATCTTCAGTACGATACTAATTTCTGTTCACATGAAAATTGCTGACACAGCGTCTGCAATCGAACATGTTTAAACATGAAGAAATTACGAAATTATCGTTCCCATCAAAAATGCTGACGAAACGTCTATAATTTTGCACGAGGCCGGAAACGAACTTAATTTTAATTACTATAAATACTGTTAGATTTTAAGATATGATTTAGTCTAAAATTGGTGTTAATAAGAATAGAATAGTATAATTAAACTATCAATTCGAATTTAAGTAATTGTAAAATTTAATTTTTAAGTAATAGTTGTGACATTGTGTGAAATAAAATTATTTTTTTATAATCGAATCAAGATAGTTTAATAACTGGCGCCCAACGTGACTTGAATCGTGAAATCGCAAAACTCTTCGTTAAATTTTAAAAGAAAAGAAGAAAAATAAGCATATCGCGATAAAAGTGTACCCAACTATAGTGCGCGTATTGTGGAAATCCGAAGTGAAATAAAAAGAAAAAGGAACTGAAGCAAACCGTACTTACAAAAAAGTGTTGAAGATTGTGCCGCAGTAGGACGTTTACGAGAATAAAAGTTCACGTCTAAAAAGGACAAACACAACTCAACCGCTATTCGCATTACTCACCAAGACTCAAACAGATGAATTACGTTTTTTTCCTGTAAGTAGTTTTTCATTACACTTAATCTTAAAAACTTAACTGAGGGAAACTAACTGCATCTCACTGAATAAGCTTTAAAAATATAGAAGCTTCGTTAATTTTAAAAAAATTAAGATTTAAAAAAATTGAAGTGATAAATGAAAATTAAATTGAAAATTTGAAAAATTAATCAATTAACCGATAATAAATTGAAAAATTAAAATTTAACCAATAAATATTTAATACAAAAATAAAACAAAAGTAATTAAAAATTTAAATGAAACCAGTAAAAAATTAATAAGATTAACCAATTAAATTTTATATTACCAAGAAATATTTAATTAAAAAATAAAACAAAAGTAATCAGAAATTTAAATAAAACCAGTGAAAAATTAATAAGATTAACCAACTAAAAACTTAAATTTAACAAAAAATTTGAAATTAATCGACAAAATTTGAAAGAAAAATATAATTTAAAAGTTTAAAACCGCGTAATAGAATAATTTAATTAGTGAAATTACCTTAATAAAAAGTTAAAAATGGAACAAATAATGGAAGAGCTCAAAAAATTAAATGGAGCCATCAATGCTCAAATTGAACAAAGCAAACGGTTTGAAATTCGCCTAGCAAAACTAGAGGCTCAGTTCAATACACCACAACCGCAGGTAACAAATTTGGCAGCACCGAAAAGTGAAGACGACCTGAAACAAATATCGAGACTTCCGGACTGTGTCAAAGATTTACAAACCTTTGATGGCGATGCAGTGCAGTATGTATCATGGGTGCACAGCGTAGAATCAATTCTACGAGATTACGAAGTTGTCAGAAACAAACCCATATACAGAGCAATATTACAAGCTATTAGAGGAAAAATTAGAGGTAGAGCAGATGCAGCTCTAATATCGTACAACCTGTTCGACGAAGAATGGGCCGCAATCAAGCAGTGTTTGTCCCTGAATTATGCCGACAAACGGGACATACGCACATTGGAGCACCAAATGAGCACACTGACGCAGGGAAGATCAACCATAGATGAATTCTACGCCAGAGTCAACCATCAATTCTCCCTCATAATCAATAAGATCAAGACCGAGAATTATACAAAAGAAACTATAGACGTATTGATAGAATCACAAAGAAACAGAGCACTGGACGTATTTATCCGAGGGCTCAATGGGGAATTGTCCAGGTACTTGATGCTTCAGAAACCGTCAACTCTGCCAGAAGCATATTCAACGTGTCTAGAGCTCCAGAACTATAGTTGCCGAAACTTCGCTATACACAACAGGAATGATAACAACAGAATCACTGTACCATTCAACAAAATGTCCATGAAACGACAACAACCAAGTGCTGGGAACCCAAGGTCGTATCAACCAGAACAGCCATTAACAGTGGAACAACGGAACTTGGCTTACAACATTCAACATCAGAGAGAATCGCAACCTCCACCTAGACCGCCAAAACCGTTAGAGAAGATGGACGTTGACCGATCCATACAAACACGTCAGGTTAATTATATGAACCGGCCAGACAACTACAGGGGAATATACAAGAGGCCACCATCAGTAGGCAACATGCCTAGCAATAAGCACCAAAGGCTATTCAATATGGAAACACTTGAAGACGACGTAGATGACCACCCAGAAGAATGCAGCGAATATGAAGAAGAACCAGCATATGCAGATGATGAGGTTCAAGAAGTAAATTTTATGACGGACGCCTTTCAAGCGTTCCTTACTTAGAATTCAAGACAAAAAACAACCAGCTCCTAAAATTTCT